ATACTTAATCACCAAGTAGTTTCAGATTTAATACATCTGGAAACAGCTAAATATTATAGATCATTCCTCCGTAAGAGAATAGCGTTAAAAGATTGTAGTATAACTTGTATTTTTACTCGCTGTGTTCTCTAAGCAAAGGAAATTTACTGCAGCTGTGATTGATGATAAAGAACCAGCACTGAACGGATGTTCCTTACAATTAGCAACAAATGGTCTGGAGTGGATTTTATGTAATGATTAAAGCCGCTCTTAATTTCACATGAAGGTAATGAGTGAAGAGATTGACGGCCACTGTCCCCCACTCCATCATCGCTTTATAGTTAATTTAAACGTTTCCATGACTCGTTTTGTTCTTCATTTGCATTTTGCTTCATTAGATGTGGCCATTTCTGAGACTGCTCACGACCGTCATTTCCCGCGCCTAATGCATTTTATTTGATCAGCCAAAACCTCCCCAGTTAACTAGCTGTCATTCCTGGAGTTTCYTATGACATCACTCCATTAGCGCCTGACATGCCACCTCAGCCACGTCCACACCCTCTGCCATCCCATCGCTCTGCTGCCTTTAGCAATTGCAATGTCCAACTGTCACCCAATGCAGCGTTATTGTATTTCGCCGGGTGTTATCTGCCTCGGTTGTTCTATCCGTCTTTCACTTCACGATATTTTTCTTCAAGAGTGGCTCTTTTTTTATTATTATTTTATTTTTCACAACGTCTGGAGCTGAGGCCCATCGGTGAGCAATAGTCAGCGCTCACAGGGCTCGGAGTGCACAACGGCAGTGTGAAGCCCCACCAACCAAGGGACCAGAGGTGTCTTGGAGGGCCTAATGGTTTTTTGATGTTCATAAGCACAGAGGATGNGTTAGGAGCAGGGAGGGGAGGTCATTTTAGAAGAGGAGGAGGAGGACTGTCAGCAGAGGACTAGCAGAGTTCTGACAGACAGAGAACGTGTTTTCTCATGTCACAGCTGATTACATTCACTCCAGAGTTGGAGAAAAGCGGGGAGGAGGCAGAGGGGGGTGGGCTGGATTGGTTCAAGGAAGCTTCTATGTTGTTCCAGATAAAATCCGTTCCTCTTACCCAGAAACAAGAGAGGTACTGACTGTTAATTTACCCTGTTGAGTCCACTCTGACACGGTTTTGACAAGTAAAGCGTTGTTACATCTTATATTTCRCTCTATCAGGACTTGGTTCAACATGTGATCACTGTTTTTTTTTTTACGTTTAACTAAAAAATTCTAAAGCTACTTTAATGTTTAATATAAAAAAGAATTGTTGTCCGTAATTTGAAAAAAAGTATATATTTTTTTGTCATTTATAATTTCACCTCAACTTAAAAATGAGCAGAAAATAAGTTTTACTCAACTCTAAACCCTGAGCAGGATTTAACCCTCCTGTGAGCATTTACACCTCTTCTCCATTTTTTTATTTTTTTGGCCCCCTGGAAAAAAAAGGAATTAAGTTCTGAACGGACATGAGAAAAGAGCACAACCGAGAATAATCTCCATTTAGTTTGAGTCAGACACTTTTTAGTTTGCAGATATTGCTCTATGGTTTACTGGGACACACTTTTTTCACCCTCTATTCCTGAGATTTCATGGGTTGCTGCACCCTCATGACCCTCGTGGTCAAAAGGCGACGGAAAGCCTGGCGGAGTTTAGGGTCCTCACCTTTAGTTTTTATCAATTTTCAGGTTTTCTTTTTCCTTGTCAGATGTTTATTTGATGTTTGCTGATCCCGGCGTAGCCTGGTATATTTGGCTAAATTAAACTTGGGTAGTGGGGAGAGTGAAAGCGTTTGGAAGGGAACCAAAGGTGGCAAAATCTTGTCACATGATATAAMAAAAGCTTGAGCAGTGGAACAATTTGCTTCTGGTTTGAATTTTACTTTAAAGTTGTAAATATCTTTCAGATGTAAAAGAAAAAAAAACTTTTGTTACTCGTGCCATTTGTGTTATCTGAGTAGTTCAAGGGTTGTTGGAAAATGGTCTGAGATGCCAAAAAATCCTCTTGACGCCCTTTTTATGGCGAATAAAAACACAATAGTTAACATACWGGCTCTACAAACTGGAAGATCACTGTTTATCTCCTCCAACACATGCAATCAGTACAAATACTAGGCCGGCTCTGTCATTTTGTGCCTCCTGCCGAGGTGTTGAGAGGAGTCACCGTGGCYGAAAATCACCTGTTTAGGTGTTGAGCGCAGCTTTGCCTCTCCTTCTTCCTGGCTCCCCTTCCACCTTCTGTCCACATTATGCTGTGGCAGAGATTTGGCAATAAAGCCAACTCTCTTTTTCACTCAGATTTACCAGAATAACATAGCATCTGGAAGGCCTATCATCACATGAAACTTGATGATAATATTTCAAATCCATCTGAAGGCTTCTCCCAACAACCTATCACTCACACAATGACACACGAAGCACAGCGGCGGTTTTTCACAGACTCTGGCTGTGCTCGCCTGAGCAGATCACATTATCTCTGTGTTGATCTGTGGCCTCTGTTTAACTCCGCTTAACTGATCGGGTTGGCTTTCCTTCCACTATCGCAGCACCTCCAGTGTTTTTACTAACATGGCCCCTGAAGTCAGCGTTTTTACTTTCACTGCCCGTCTCTCCTGTACTGTCGCAGCAGCTTTTATTTCTTCACGCAGAAGAGCAGGTGTATCATTTACTGAGTTTAAGGTCAGTCGCATCATATTAGTCACATCTTTGTTTAGAATGAAATTATCAGTGTTCTCTAACAGAAAGATGCTAATTATATTATTAGTATGAATGTTTTTATGTGCATTTATGCTGTGAAGACTGATCAGAAATATATTCAAACAAATAAAATTGTGTTTTTTTCCTACATGTCTAATATTGTCAGGAATTTTTGTTGGTTTTATGTGTATTGTATTTTATTTTAGTTTGTGTGTTGTTTAGTTTTTTGCTATTTTGAGCTTCATCTCTTGTTAAAAAACATTTGAAATTGTTAATAGTTTTATTTTGGGTTGAATAAAGATCTAAATAAAGTATTAATTAAAACGCTGCTGTTGGCTGCAGGAGGAGATGGTCAGATTTTGTGTTTAAACATTTAGATTATGCTTTAAAAAAAAAAACAAGTTATATTCTTTTTTGACAAGAGGTCATTTCTACACCCTCCAAAAAAGTTTCAGAATTTTCTTACAAGTACATTTTTTTACAGCTATGATTAAATTTGTACATTTAAAATGTATACATGGTGAGGATATTATGTAAATTTCTTGGGTATAAATGAAACATTGCAGCGTGGCAGATCATTCAAATGATGTTCCTGTGTATCACTGGGATGCAGAACACAAAAAAATCTGCTTAAAATCATTGTCGCCTAAATATTGAGAGATTAGAATATATCATAAATCTAAAACATAAAAATGATCACAAATAGTCACAGTTAGTGCAGTGTGTTGTTTTATGACCCTWATGAGCAAAATATTCTGCAGAGGACATTTGATCCAGCGGATACATCCCTGAGAGTAAACTTTCTAACTTTATCTTTTAATTTGCAAATTAAGAGATTTTTAATCAATGGTGACAAGGGTTACAGCTTTTTATYAACGTTAGCATAAATTAAATGTAGTAATAGTTGCATTAAAGTTCACAGGATCGTCACATCCGTAACATTTTGCATCAGATTAGTTAAACTTTTATCGCTAGCTCACCACAAATTCTTCTTTAATTCTTTTGCTCATTAAAAACATCAGAATCTTGTCGGCTCTCTCAACATCTCAGGTGTTCGCGGTTCCCGAAGGCTGACCGCTGAACAAATAAAAGACAGTCTTGCGATTATCAAGGAAAAACTGGATGACTTTCAGACGAGAGGAGGCAATATCAATCACGGCCAATTTGAGGCCACCAACATGAAATATGATTTCATAAGACAAATGCAGTGTCATTCTTAATGTGCTTAACCTTTACTGTCAATGAAAAAGTATTGATCGCTCTGTGACATTTTTTCATCATTTGATTTCAGAAAGTGTAATAATATATGGTGCTGGGATAAGATAGAAAAAAATATATAAATATATATATGTCAGCTGGATGTTCTCACCAGAACAAAGGTGGAATTCTCAGCAGAGTCCTAAAAGTGTGACAAACTGGTTGTTTTTTTCAAAGATTTTCACTGCAGCAAATTCTGTTTTAAGTGTTTTATTTAACTTTACTTGAAGGTTCAGTCATCTACTTTGAGTTAAGTAGGTAACCGGAATAAGTAGCAGGGAGAAAACATTTGCCATTTCTATTATATCTCTTTCTTATTGAGTAGTCGAGAGGTTTCCTTTCTCCTCGAATTCTTTGATCTACTTACTCAGCCTAATAAGACTTTACTCTGCTGCAGTACAACCAAATCAGCAGTGCATTTTCAGACCCCTAATAAGTGGTTAGCTTGATTTATATGGGTAATCACCGCYCTGTGGCGGGGCTCTATAGCCTCTCCTCGATGCAGTGAACTTCTTTTCACAACCGCGGGCCAAACCAGATGAGTCCATTACAGCCGCGCACAGATGGTCATTTTAACCTTCCTCTGCCGCAACAGTATCACTCTGTTCCAGTCTCCTGACGCAGGAGGGCTTCTTAGTCGAAGTGCACGGAGGCAACTGACGATACAGTGATGCATAGCTGCGCTGCCTGGCTCTATTGTAAGAGCAGGGAGCGGGTGGGCCGTTGCTGTAGGTCGAAAAGACTGGACCCGGCCCGTAGGGAGCCCCGGGGGCCAGAGAAAGCACTTAGAGTGGTAAAATATCCACTTATTCACAGCCTTCCTCCAGTTCTCACTGCTCCTCCCTAACCTCTAGCCTCCCGCTGCGTCCAGGAGCGCAAGCCTTTGGGAAACGTTTGACAAACTGCACAGCCCGTGCTCTGCAGACCTGGCTGCAGTTATCCTCTGCTGTCCCAAGCAACAAAACAAAGTGTTTTCTTCGCCGGTGTGCTCTGTATGTCCTCACTGGTTTCGGCAAAATTCTGTCTTTTCCCCTCCGCAGCTGAACCCTCTGGCCAGCCAGGCGGCGGCAGCGGCAGCGGCAGCCATGGGGTCCATCGCTGGCTCTCAGGTGTTCGGCAACACCCTCTCGAACCTGCAAGGGGCCACCGGGCAGCTCGTCACCAACGCACAAGGACAGGTGGGTGCAGTGCACGAGATACCTGATACTAACTGTACCTTCCATTGCACTGTTCTTGTTTAACAAACTTATAAACAAATGGTACAGAAATAAAACTGTTACCTTGGTAACTAGRCCCTGAAAGATCTTGTTCTGTCATTTATCATGTGCTACAGTATTGTACTGCTGAAAAAAAAAACTGTTTGTATGGTASTTCTGATCTTTTCACATAGATTTCTTGTGGTCGGGCCTTTAAGCTGTTTGTCTGCACTCCAGCAGCCGGCCCACCATATATTAGGCATTTTGGGAATAAACAAACCCTTCCCTCTCTTATCCGTACGCGCCTGTCGGAGTAAAACGCTGACCTTGTCATATTTAAGGGTGGCTGCAGAATTGTTCCATCAGTAGCCAGAGGCTTGAACGATGATGCTTGTCATTGTGAAGCTCTATCTAATGAATCATCTTATCTCAGGTGCACACAGCACATATTAAAGGAGGATTGTGTGGACATTTTGCCCTTTTGGATCTGCTTTGTTTTATTTGCATGAAGTCCCGTTTTGTCTTGTACCTGCATTGTTTTCACAAAATCTTATTGAGGCTGAAGTAATTGGAGACGATTACTATTAAAACAGATGCAAACTGCGTGCATTTCAGTATGAACTCTTCGGAGTTGCCTTCACTGGTTTGACCGTGTTTCAGCTTCAGCATATGCAGAAGAGCGTTGTCCAGAAAGGAGAGGTTGATCCTAAACATTGCTAATGAGACTGTATGGACGTTCCTGTTTCACAAGGTGCCTGGAGCACCGGGAACAGATCACTGAGGATATGGACTTGACGGGATGTTCTGTGCTTTTGTAGCATCTTGGTGGCTGACACTTCCTGACATAATCAGGTCATAGAGATGGTCAAAGCCCTGGGGTACAGCCTTTGCTCCCCACCTCATTATTCTACTGCATTATTCAGACAGAGGACTCTGAAATATGCATTCCCATATCAAAACCTGCTGCCCCTCCCTTCCTCCCCCCAAACACAGAGGATATTACACAGGCTAATACATAACTCATGTAAGTCCAGGGGGGTCCAGAAACACACAAATGTGGCTTTGTACTTACTTTACGGGTGCTTTTTCACCCCATTTAAGGTAGTGTTTGATTACAGTTTAGGTACAACCTTCTTTTTGAATTTAAAACAAATAGCGTCCTCTCTTTATCCTAATTTTGACGCTGCCAAAAGACCATTTTTATGAGCCAGAGCTTTGAGAACCTTAAAAAGTGTCAAGTCTGATGGACCTTTGGAGTTCAGTTTTTAAACCTTAATTATATTGGCTCGAGCTTTTTTTTTTATTCTCCAAGAAAAATCAATGAGGCTCTTTTATCCTCACTGCCTCTACAACAGTGATTAAGGTTGTGGATAAAAGCCACAATTATTAAGTCACTCTCACTCTTGAATGCCTTTTTTAAATTCTTCTACACAAATCACACGTTTTTGCTAACATCTTTTACTTAATTCTTACTTTTCCTTCAGGTTTAATAAGTCATTAGTTGTATAAAGAAGTTAAATTTCTATTTCCTCTTTTAAGCTGTGCACTCTGAAATAGGTTAGCCTTACTTTGGTTAATCCTGGTGCCTCAGCTTTGCGTGTAAATATCTCCTCTTCTTTTTTATTTTTAGCATTCCATACCTTTAGTAAGACCTTGAGCCTAATGGGCAAATAATGCTTAGACAAATGTGGAAAGCAACAGGTAAAGTTCACACTCACTGGTAAAAAGCTGGCTCAGAAACTGTTGAAGCTGAACTACAAAACAAGCAAAGCTCTCCATATTGATGGAAGCCCCTGGCCCTTAGATGAAGTGTAACCACTGTGTAAACTCATATTGACCTTTTATTTGTACTGTAGAGCTGCAAACATTGATTCATTTCTTTATCAGTGAATCTATTGATTCTCTACAAGTTTACTGATTAGTTGTTTTGTTTCAAAAATCCTCAAATTTCTAAACCCTGTTGAATATATAAAATAAACTAAAGGTCTTTTTTAAGGGAATGCATTAGTGCTGGGCGGTATACCGTTTTGTACCGAAAACCAGTTTTTATTTTTGTTATGAAATGAATTATCTGAATACCGGACATAATGGTTTACACTGCCTGAACACATGCGGAACGTTTCGCCACGGCCGCCAGTGAACTGTTTCCTGGGGGACATGTTTCCCGCAGCACCGCTAAGGGCATTAGCATGCTAACGTTACAGTAACTGGAAGTGGGGGTTGTTTCAGCTGCTTATATTGACTGACGTGAAACAAAAATCCCGTTTTCACCACTGCTGAGTGTAGTAAACAACTCTTCAGTGACGTGCACAGTTAGATTTAACTCGRGATGTTATAACGGAGACGTTAATGCATAGAGATTTTAACGTGCTTCTATTGTGAAAAGCCCGGGGGATGTAGTTTTATAGTAGAGCGAAGTTGACTGGTGTGCAAGGTGAGTCGTCCTTTTAAGTTTTATTAACAGACAACAATTGACCCGATAATGATCTTTTCTCAACCCTTCATGATCAGACTAAAATGCATGTTTACTGTCTACAACCAGGCAGAGAAGAAAAGACGTAGAAGAGAAGGGAAACAGTGATACAGAGGTACAGTAAAAGAAAAAACTCAAACAAAGTTTGTACATTTTATTATCAGCTGAGCTGAGAGGAAAAAAATACCGTCAAATACCGTGAAACTGGTGTAATTGTTGAAAATACCATGATATAAAATTTAGGTCATACCGCCCAGCTCTAATGCATATTAGATAAGAAAAAACTAAATGTATGTGTTATGATTTTATGTCTCTATAAAAAATAAAAACTACAAATTCAAAAAAAAATTTTYATAGCACCAACATGAGGCTGCTGTTTTAAGCTTTTAATTTTCTCTGAATTTTAGAGCAGTTTAAAGTTTACAACAAGGGTCCCTGTACTTGTGTGTTGACACAAGTCCAGACTTCCCAAAGATTTTTTTCTCCCCCCTTTTTCGGGTTGGTCTTAATTCACCACATGAACAGTGGAGGAGTGAAAATGGGCAGAGATATTGCCTGGTGACCATAGCTAAAGACACAGATTGCCCTGGCTYGAGAGATGAGATGACATTTCTGTGGAAACAAGAGCAGCATATTCTTAATGAGTTCTGGTGGATGGAGAGAAGCGTGTCTCTCACATGCCATGCTGTGAACTGGAGCAGAGGCAAACACAGGAAGTGAAATAACGGGTAAAAAGAAGAAGAAAAAGAAGTGAGGAAAAGGACTTTGCTGTGAATAAGAGAGGGACCTGAGAGCTTTTTATTTATGAAATCGTTGCATTAGGGAATTTAATCTTAGTAAATATTATTTTACTATTAATTCAGTTAAATTTAAAAATACTTTATTGATCCCAGAGGGAAGTTAGATAATTGTATTATTGAATATTGAATAGGTTACTGTACAATACCACAGATCTGCAAGGGGAAAAAAATCATCATTTATAGCTAATAATTTAAAAATAATACCATTGCTGCTCTTGTTATGTTGAAACAAGAATTTATCAGAATTAGTGTTTTGGCCAATGGTAGTCTTCCCTTGTCCAGACAGGTTTATCCTCCTGAGTGTGTTTTTATTTTCCCTTTGTGATCAATAAAGAATTTTTGAACTGAATTGAATTTCTCCCAGCTATTTGCGATTAGTAGAACCTCATAAATAAAATGACATTCTTGAAAACTGTATACGTCCAGAAGGCATCTTTACCAGATGAACCACCTCAACTGGCTTCTCTCGATGTGGAGGAGCAGCGGCTCTACTCTGAGTCTCTCCTGGATYACRGAACTTCTCACCCTGTCTCTAAGGGAGAGTCCAGCTACCCTTCGAAGAAAACTCWTTTCGACCGCTTGTATCCACAATCTAATTTTTCAGTCACTACCCAAAGTTTGTGACCTTAGATGAGGGTAGAAAATGTTGACTGATCGATAAACAGAGAGCTTCTTCTCACAGCTCAGCTCTCGCTTCACCACAACAGACCAGTACAGAGTCCACAATACTACGGAAACTGTKCCGATCCATCAATKTCACGCTTCATTCTTTTCTCACTCGTGAACAAAACCCCAACATACTTGAACTCCTCCACTTGAGGCAGAACCGCCCCCKCACACACACACACACAACCTGGAATAAACAATGGAGCCTTTTCAGATTGAGGATCATAGACTCAGATTTGAAGGTGCTGATCCTCATCCCAGTCCCTTCACACTCGGCTACGAACCGCTCCAGTGAGAGCTGAAGATTACGACTCCATGATGCCAACAGAACCGCATCATCTGCAAACAGCAGAGATGAAAACAAATATATGTAGTTACAATTAAAAATAAAATGCATAGTCCTCCTCAATAAGGAGAGTTGGTTCAAAAGATCAATGTCCTTAAGATTAGGATGCAGGCTCTCAGGAGGTTTATGCAAACTATTTGTTTAAAAGTATAAAATTAGTTAAGGACCAGCTTCAATAATAATAATACTAAGTTGACTATAGTGATTTTCTCAATAAGTAATATGAACTTTTAGAAAAACCTAAGTAGACCAACAGTATGTACAGTTTTGGCAGCATGACGGCTCAGTGGTTAGCACCGACGCCTCGCAGCAAGAAGGTCCTGGGTTCGATCCCTGGTTCGGACCTGGGGTGTTTCTGTGCAGAGTTTGCATGCTCTCGTCATGTTTGCGTGGGTTTTCTCTGGCTACTCTGGTTTTCCCCACCCCTTAAAACATGCACAGTAGGCCTGGTTAAATAGTGGTAAATAAAATAAAATAATGAAATAACTATCAGAAGGTGATCCCCTAACTCCTCTTAATTGTCAAATCTCCAGAAATTCTGTTCTGGCTTCTGGTTTTGGTGTGCCACCCCAGGATTTTCAGTGGCCCCCATGGCCACCCCCATTTAAAAAAATGTCTGAAGGCGCCACTGCTGCCCAAATATTCAGATATAGAATGGAATGGATGGAATGAGTACTGCTGAGCTGTCAGTTGCCTGCTCCTTTATTATGCTTATAGAACAACCACTTAGTCCAATGATGATGAATAATTGAGCGGAACAAGTTCCCCGCCACAACGGCATGCAAAGTGGGATCAGTGGGACTCAGGAGACACAGGCGTCAAGCAGGGCAATAAAATATGCTAAGTGGCAGGAGAGCATTACGGGGAATTTGTAAAGCCGGCACAGAGAGAGAGATAAATTATCTCTCCCCTAATGCGAAGCAACATAAGCAAATGAGCCGTGGCAGGGATGAATTACAGATTGTCGACCCACCTTTCTCTCACAGATCCTTCCCTATTATGTCAAAGAGATGAAGAAAGAGGAGGGGGGAGACGGACCATGCGCTGAAAACCATTAACAGTAGTGAGAGTCTGTTTGTAGTTGCATGTTGCTTTGGGCTGTGGCGAAGAGCCTCGGACTGAAATACTGAAATACAAACATAAAGAGAATGAGTCCAAGACAGTGCAATTTTAGCAAAAGTAGCCCTTCGCCCAGTTGCCAAATAACAGAATTTAGAATGATGGCGTCTCATCCGTGTTGAGCTGCTCTCTGGTGTAATGAGGCTTGGTGGAGGAGTGATGCCAGCAGGGGGGCCCGGGTGACGGCTTCTCAGGAGCTGCCCAGAACTAGTCCCCAGATGACATTAACCTTCATCATAGTGAAGAGGCGCTAAGTCCCCCCCTAAAGCGCTACTCTTGGCCACACTCTGGCAGCTCTGAGAGCTAAAACGTTGCAGTGACACTCCACCACCCCCTTTGATCTGCCCTTCCTGATTACAGCCAGCGTGGAGAGAAGAGCAGGGGATGAAGGGGCGAGTGGGGGGATGTACAGAAAGGGTGAAGTACCCCAGGGACCCTGAGAGTTGAATTAGAGACATGGGGTCCTGTCTCGCTCTGTGATGCTGTTCTTTTTCTCTCATTGTTTTCTTTTCTTGCTCATTCTTTGCACTTTTTTCCTGTCTGCCTGTGTGTCTGTTAGCGAGTGGAAAGGTGGTGGGGTGGGGGGTCTGTGTTTCTCTGCACACTCACTTCTTCACACCAGAGACAGACAAAGACTCTTAAGCACAAACACACGCGGGAACACACTTTTCATGCCGATCTTGGCCTGGTGATGGATAATACAGTCAGTGGTGTGCACCATCACACACGCAGGTATTCAGCACTGACCTTTCCAGTGCGCTCCCAGCAGTCTGCTTTGGCTTCACTCGCCTCTTGGCTGTAAAACCACATCAGTGACAGACGATCAGCGGACACTTCTTCGTCTTTTTATTTTTTCCTCTCTAAATCTCACACACGCCAGCTCAAAAGCACGGCTCTCTGATTAACCTGATGCCTCATTTCTGATCCCTCAAAAAGAAACTGCAGTTTTCATTTTCGCAGATACCTCCAGTAGCGTTTACCCTCTCTGCTTTCTCTCCCGTTTTTAAAACCACCCAGCTGATTTTGTGTCCGCTCTGCCCCCTTTGTAGATAATTGGAACAATTCCACTGATGCCCAATTCTGCAGGGCCCTCCAGCCACTCAGGGGGTGGTAACCCAGCACTGCAGGTACAGCCAATTACACCTCAGCTTCTGACCAACGCTCAAGGCCAGATCATCGCCACAGTGATCGGCAATCAGATCCTGCCTGTCATCAACACCCAGGGAATCACGCTGTCACCAATCAAGCCCGGACAGCAGGTAACATATATGCTCATGTAGGAACACACTCACACATTTATAAAGGCAGAAATCCTGTAGAGCGAGCTTATTACTTTTTTTTTTAATCTCTGGCTCCAAAGAAACTTGATCAAGGGGGCAAGTTTTTAAAACTGTGAATGAGTAACACCTAGTGTAGTCAGATTAGACTCCTGCTTATTCACAAAGTCTTATTTTTCCTGCTAAACACCTCATTTTYTTTCCCACTTCAACTCTTTAGCTCATTTGCATCATTCAACTCGCAAATTGTAGCTTTTGGTACGCGCGATGTGTGTTAGCATTTTTTTTCCCCCATCTGTGCATATTTGAAACACATTTGTCAGCCAAGCTTTTAAAGTCTGAGACTCCAAAACTCCTGCGGAGCCACCTTCCCCTTCGCACACACGCAAAACACTTTCCATCACCTCACTTAAAACTCAAACGCTCCTGCCTCTGTTTTCCAGTTCTTTCACTTCTCCCCCTCCTCATCCTTTCCTCTCTCAGTCGTACTCTCCACACGTCTGATTTGTCCCTTCTGACCCAAACAAGGAATATTTTGTTTGGATATAAAGAACGCCACATGAAGCACTTTTCCTACCCTTGTATTGTGCTCAAACACAAGCACAAGCACCTTGTGTGTATGTTGATCTATATGATGCAAAAGTGTAGAGCACCTTGACACATGCACATTGAAAATGGTATTGACCGGATAATGAAGATGTCAGAGCAGAATTACACGGTAAAAGTTCACGCTGAAGGCCTCGGCAGTGCAGCATGGATGAACTCTGTCTGGAGATTGGACACCTAATTGTGGCACCCGAACCAGCAGATCATACTCTTGAATGAATTAATGCATTTGTAATATTGTTTATGCTCGTGTCTCCACTTCAAAGCCCGCTTGTGCACATTGTTCCACGGGCATAATTTACGGTTGTCAGAGCCTGCAGTCTGGAATATTTCCAGTGAAGCTAGATAATTTTCCGAGCCTGTCAACAGTCCTGACAGTGTGTGCATCGCTGTTGACACCCCCCCACCCCCCCACATACACCCCACCCACCAACACCACCATCCAAACAAATACATGCCACAGAAAAAATAATTAATAGCAAAAAAGAAGGAGAAAAGAAACCAGCCCAGTTTATGGCACAGACAGCTTTTTGCTTTAAAAGCAAAGACGTCTTGATCTTGTAAYAGCAATCCAAATGTGCATAAAACATGAAAATACACAGGTTTTTTTTGCCATCAGTGCACATAGCTGGCAGATCATGAATTATGTTTGATATGAGAACTGCTGTGTCTAAATGTTATTTGTTGTTTTTTTAACAATCTGATTGCCATTACTGGCTTCCCCACAAGACTGATAAGAATGAAATCTCTAATTGTCACAAGCTTTTTCCCCCCTCTCCCTTTTCTTTTTTTTTCTTTTGAACAGAGTTGATTTCTGCAGAGAAGCAATTACAAAACTCACACAGACAGTGGAGTACCTAACTGAAACCAGCATGCACTTTCCTTTAAACTCTCAACTGCAACAGCAAAATAGCACTGTAACCTGGCAGCACTACATTCTGCTCTGTCAGTCTAAATACTGCAGGCAGTAATTTCATCATCATCAGGTTCAGGGTGCCTCTCATTATATTCAGCCTCTAAGTGGTCAATTTAGCAGCTGTTGATTGTTTGATTAGATCTGATATTGCATCCTAATCACCATAACGACCTTATTATTGTAAATGATTACTGTCATGGTGATATGCTGCAGGAATAATGGATATTTTTTTCTGTTCTACGAGCTGTCAGTGCATCATTCGTGTGTGTGTGTGTGTGTGTGTGCGTGCATGCGTGCGTGCGTGCGTGTGTGTGTGTGTGTGTCCAGATGCCTCAGGCGCAGCAGGGTCAGACGGGCCCCGCATCGTCTCAAGCCAGCCTGCTTCACATGCCCCACAGACAGAGTCCTCTCCACCAGCCCTCTTCCTCCTCCTCCACCTCCTCCTCTTCCTCAGCTCTCAGCGTAGGGCAGCTGGTTAGCAGTAAGTGTCCCACACAACTCACAAAAATGAATCGGAGAGTAACGTGCAGATTACTACAGTATGACTGAAACAACCAGTTAACTTAACCAGTTGTAGTTTTTTTTATCTGTGGATTAATCTATTTCTGCTGTTCCTCTGGGCTGCTGCATCGTGTCTGAGAGTAGGACCAAAAAATAAATAATAAACTATAGTGTTTGTGTTCATCATTGTGGAGGAACATGTCAGCTAGTGTGACAGTGTTGTTTGTTGTGTTTTTATTAGTTACTGGATCACAATGGAGCTCTATGTCACAGAGGAACAAGAAATCTGGTTTTGGCTGCACAAGCAGGATCAGTCCGTTGTTCTCGTTTTTAAACAATTTGTCGACAGTAAGAAAAATGAAGATTATGACCCGACTCACATTTAAAAACATTGATTAAAGCAGCGAGGTCTGCTAAATGAGAGTGTCATCAGTTTATCAGTCAGGCAGACTACTTAAAAAGTACTTCTTATACAGCACAGTATAACCAGAGGTGTATYGCAAGAAAATACATTTACAGTACTTCAGTCATTTTTTTGAGGATCTGTAATTTTACAAAGTAATTTTTTATTGTAACTTTTACTTTTATCTTGATACATTCAACACATGAAAAAATATACTTTTACTTCTTAACTTTAAAATTTAACACCTCATTACAAATTGAAATATGACCAAACTCATCTTGAAAGGAGTTGTTTACTCTAAAAAAARYAAATGTTGAATTAATTAACCAAGTTGTGTCAACCAGTTCCACTAGACTGAGGTAAGTAAATGGAAAGCAATTTACACAACTCAGTTTAGTGGAACCATTATTGTTAAGTAATTTCAACACTTTGTTTCTGAGAGTGTGTGTGAAAGTATTTTTACTTTGCCTATTATTGTGAGCAGTTTTTTGTCTCTTAAGTTCTTTTCTTATCAGTGAAATATATTTCCCTAAGTTATTTTCTGTTCAGAGTTTTTACTT